TTGAAAAGATATATTATGGCGTTGACGTTCCATGGCCGTAGGAACCGGGGGGGGGGGGGGGGGCACGTGCCCCCAAAAATTTTGCCGATATATAGAATACTATAGAAAAGATAGCTACTATATGATTGTGCCCCTCAATAATAACGTCTGATGACCCCCTTTTTTTTGCTTGTCAAGGAATTTTGGTAGTTGATAGTGCCCCCCCCCCCAACTGAAAATATATGGTTGTGCCCCCTCAAAGTGAAATTGCTTCCTACGGGCCTGCGTTCATCCCATATTCGGTAATAATCGTATCAAATAATGAGAAATATAAGTATTGGGGTATTCAAACGTACCTTATTCCTTATTCTCATTTACATGCCTCCAAATTGAAATATCATTGTCGCTTGTGTACAGACTGTTTTCTCTTGTGAAAATGGGATAAAATTAGACATGTTTTGCGATTAGATCATTTTTTTCGATGTATAAACTCGTAAAAGAAAAGTGAATACAAAAATCATTGACATAATTCACCCCCCTCCCCTATTTACAGAGGCAAAAGTAAATATTATTTTTCAATTTCTTTCTTTTAAAAGATTGATAAAATCTTGTCGCTACATGTAACAAGCATTAACATTTAAGCGTTGCAAGAACTTATCCTCCGATAATTCATAAATTATAGTTTTCAATTTAACATTATTATGTTATAGGTATTTAAGTAAACCATTCTTTCACTGTATGGTTGTTTTATTGTCCAAAAGGCGGTTATCAATCTGATTCTTTCCACTGTCATAAGATTTATAATTAACAAGCGTTCCATTTTTTCTATGTGCAAACAATATTTGAACTGAACCTACCTATATATGTCAGGCTGGATAGCTGTATGGCTCTGTGTGTAACTGATTTTCAAACTGAATAAATCCAAAATGTAGGCAACAATCTGATATTTTGTTAACAAGCGTTACCTTTAGCAAACGTTGCTATTCAACATCCCTTGCGTATATAGGCAATATTGGCTGCAATATGATATACGTACATATAATGAGTTGAACGTTATTTAATTATAATTTGAACACTTAATTAACTTAAATAACATAAAAAGTCTATAATAAATTTATAACTAATGAACTTAGTACAGTATTTATCTTACAATTATAAAGTTTAATGACTTCATCGGCAAATAAATTTCTGTCATGTATTGAGGTACAAGTGAAATCCAATATCAATTTTTGTCCCCCGCTTTCACTGAAAGTGGGGATATTACTTTTTGTCTGTCTGTCCGTCTGTCCGTCTGTCTTTCTGTCTGTCTGTAACGCTTTCGTTCGTTTCCGCGCGATATTTCGAGAAGCCTTTGAGCTTTTGCAATGAAATTTTACATAACAAAATCAATAGGGGTCTTCCTTAGCTATAGGCCACAGGGAGAAATTTCATTGCAAAAGCTCAAAGGCCTCTCGAGACATCGCGCGGAAAAAAAGGTACAGACAGATAGCTAGACAGACGGACGGACAGACAGACCCAAATTAACCCCCCTCCCACTTTCAGTGAAAACGGGGGAAAAAATTACGACTTTTTTCTTAACATTTTCATTGAAATGGGGTATCTACTCTGAAAATGACTGCACAGCAAAGAGTAAGAAATGAAATAAAAGACAAAATCATTCCAAATGTTATGAAACACCAAGGCAATTTTATTATTCCAAATCATGTCTTAAAAAAAATTCAAAGTTCACAATTTGATGGCCTAATATCAATGGACCAAGATCATGCAGCGTAAAACCTTGTTGCGACGTATATATTTTCCCACATCTATCTATCTATCTATCTATCTATCTATCTATCTATCTATCTAGCTCTTTTCCAGAACAAACACCAGTAGTCTGTAATTTTATATCATGCCTGGTGCGTTTATATATGCCTTTTGAGATCATGTTTTCTTTAAGTGCTGTATAATCACATATTAGAATGGTTCTACTTCTGATGTCTCCTCAACTGCCTCTAATATACAGCCATCCATCCTTAAGAAATAAAAAGAAAAATAATAATTATCGTGCATTTGTTTTATCAAAACATTGTTAATAAAACATTTTAAAAATACATGTAGATTACCTGAGTTACTACGGAAGCCCGTTGAGGCCAGTTCAGAGAAAGAAATATTTTTTATTGCGTTTAAACGCAATAAGTATTGCCTTTAATCGCAATAATCATTGCGTTTAAACCCAAAAGATTGCGTTTAATCGCAATGTATATTGCGTTTAAACGCAAAACACTTTGCGTTTAATCGCAAAAGATTGCGATTAAACGCAATCTTTTGTGTTTAAACGCAATACTTTTGCGAGTAAACGCAATAGTTTTTGCGTTTAAACGAAATAATATTTTTGCGATGAAACGCAATAGTTTTTTGCGTTTAAACGCAATAATATTGCGATTAAACGCAATAGTTTTCCGTTTAAACGCAATAATCTTTGTGTTTAAAGCAGTCATTTGTATCAAACCTTAATCTTAAGCTTATTATTGTCTACATTCTTAATGAAGTTTTGGTCAGTTGCTCTGTTAAAAAATTGTCCCCTACATTGCGGTCATAAGTTTAACCCAAGGAATTTTTGGAAAGGACTGAGAAAATGTTGGAATTACGTACAACATGATGAAGTATTTAGACTTAAATGTACATTCATAATCCTCCCTATGGTTGCATACAGTAAACACAAGAACATATGTGATGGATTTATATGAGATCAAAATCAAATGAAAACAGATTGATCGATGTGTACTACATGTATCAAATTGACAAGTGCTATTTATACCACTGAAACATTCTCTGTAAGTTGTGATATACGTAAGCAATTGATCAGAGACTTCATTAAGAGTTTTGGGTTCTAATACATTTAAGACATTCAGGTTGTTAGGATGCCATTGTTTTACTACAATTTCCAAAAACTGGAAAATTTTGCAAAAAGACGCAGAACAAATCGGATCTTCTTAAAGTTGAAGTGTCGGATCCTAGTACATGTATATGTAATAATTATTATAAGCTTTGACTAATTAATGTTTGATTTTGAAACTACAGTATCATTGTGTTTAAATGCAAAACGAATCCTTATAAGGAAGGACTATTGCGTTTAAACGCAAAGATTTTTGCGTTAAATCGCAAAAATTATTACGTTTAATCGCAAAAAAATATTGCGTTTAAACGCAAAAATATTATTGCGTTTAAACACAAAAAGTATTGCGTTTAATCGCAAAAGTATTGCGTTTAAACGCAAAAGATTGCGTTTAATCGCAATCTTTTGCGTTTAAACGCAAAGTGTTTTGCGTTTAAACGCAATATACATTGCGTTTAATCGCAATCTTTTGCGTTTAAAAGCAATGATTATTGCGATTAAACGCAATGTTTTGCGTTTAAACGCAATAATTATTGCGTTTAATATATATATATATATATATATATATATATATATATATATATATATATATATATATATATATATATATATATATATATATATATATATGCGTTTAATATATATATATATATATATATATATATATTTACATTTCCAATTCCAATGTCTTTGTCCGAGATAAAAACAAATTGTAAAAATACTTTATTTCTACATAAATCTACTGGTTCATCGATAGGCGCGGTTAAAAAAAAATCACGTGCGGGGCGGGACAAATAGAGACAGAAGCGGGGCTATTAGCACGGGAATTTGCAGAATCAGGAGCATGTAAATATAAGGAATAACTGTCAGATTTTTTGGATTCATGACGATGATCAATCGATTGGCTTGCGTGATAATTTTATGCATAAACGGTAGGCGTTTATGCAAATTATCACGCAAGCCACTCGATTGATCACATCATGAATCCAAAAAATAAGACAGTTATTCCTTATATATATATATATATATATATATATATATATATATATATATATATATATATATATATATATATATATATATATATATATATATATATAGGTTTAATTGTTTGTTTTTCTTTCTAAAATGTTTTTTTTTTAATTTTTGTTATTTTTACTTATTTGTGTGTGTGTTTTGTTTTTGTTTTGTTATTGTTTTTACCTTTTTATTGACAACTATTGATGTTGTAAATTCTTCTTCTCAAAATTAGGCCAAAATTAAGTTTAAATGAAGGTTTAAAAAACTCCCTCACTGTGAGGTTAATTGTATGTATGGACTATGGTACTCAGGTGACCGTCAAACATGTGGATCTCTTGTATGTTCAATTACATGCCAGTACAACTTGCGTTTATTTTAGGAACGAACAATACAATTCGAACATTCTAGTTTGAAACGACGCATACAGTGATTACAATGACAGAGGTGTTTTAAATTGTGTATTTTGAAACTTTAACATTTAAATATAAAACTCCGAAGCATACATAACATTATTCTGTATCATGATTTTCAATAATTGCCATTTTCGGGAAATAATTACGTCTCTTGTGAAGTATAAACAACGTACAAACGTTACATGCATGTGTAAGTATGTGAGCAAACGATTGCGTTTTTAAAATTTCTACTTACATATTCATTCAATTTAATACAAACAATTGAAACTAATTCAGCGGGATATGCTAAATGATAATTACGTTAAATCATAAAGTTTGAATGTCAGAAATCATGCACACCTTGCAATTTAATAGGTAGTTGTTCTTCTCTAGGTTTGTTTACACGCTTCGATACGCAAGAACTTCCGCCAATTTTAGTATGTGGGTTAGATACTGTGTGATAGTGTCAAGAAAAGAAAACCTGATATTTTATTGAGGTGTTCTGTACTTATAAACACGATTCCATTCTCAAATGAATTATATATTAATATTATACAATTTTAAGATTTAAATTCATTAATAGACACACGCTTGAATCTAAAAAATTATATATATATATATAGAGAGAGAGAGAGAGAGAGAGAGAGAGAGAGGGGAGAGAGGGGGAGAGAGCAATATACATACCCTTTTCTATATCACATTGACCAATATCAGCGCTCGGGCTAGAAAAGATGGACTTTCAAAGATGGTGCACATGGTTTCTGGCAGTAGTGGGATTGTTTGCTTTGTTACCTTCACTTTACGAAGGAGTGCAGTGGGTATGAGTATTATATAATTGATAATGAAAGCTAATTAGCATCATTCCATTTATCAGCGGTCTTGTTTTATTGATGGTATATTATCACACATGAGATTTATATTCTTGTTTAAATTTTACCACTACATATTATATACTTAAAGCATTCACAGTGATAGGACTTTTTTTTTAGGTGTGGGCTATCCGGTACTTACTGCAATACCTTTTCCAGTTTGCATATCTTACGTGTGCAGTTATAGTGGTAATCTTCAGTAACATATTGTTGATCATTTCTACTTAATTTAAAAGAAACATCATACTAAACACTCATACTAATACTGAAAAATAGTACCAAACCCCATTTCAGCTAATGATTCGAACAAATATAGAGGAAACTGATCAACGATCTAAACCAAACCCAGCTCCAAACTCCAAGGAATCTGTAAGAATACCAACAGCAAAGGTTAATGAAACAAAGAGAGAACAGAGGTTACAAAGAGATTTCCTTTCTACCGCGCCTTCTAAAAGACTAATAAATAGTATGTATAAACATGAAACTTATGCTACTGATGTAAATTTAGTCAGATTTCGAATATATCTTCACTCTTTGTACAAAATTAAATGAAATACATAATTGACTTTATACATTTAACATGCTGAAGTATTGGCTTATACATTTTACATGCTCATAATCACTTCTTACTTTGAAAGTGTAAAGGATAGCCATCACCATGATTTAACAAATAGATTACATAAACCCACTGACCCTATTAAACCAAGACGTATTGGGTCATATCAGGCCTAGGATTAATAACAAATCTATATTCTGGTCCTGCATACTACAAGCTCAATACCCAGGGAGTAGGACTATTTCTTTAAAAATCTAACCAATAGAATTGTAACATCTGACATATATAATGAGGATGTGGAGATCTCATAAAAATGAGATTTATATTTTGGTCTTAATTTGGTGCATAATCAATATTTTATTCTTTGCTACTGTTCAAAAATAAAACAATGATAACTTAATTTTTTTTTTGTTTGTTTTTTGTTTTGTTTTTTTTTTTTAAATTCTTTCAATACCAATTTTTATTAGTTTGAAAACAATTTTAAGTAAAAATTCTAAGTAAAAATAAAAGGTAAGCAAAATAGGGCATGTACTTTCTACAAACTCATTTCTACAAGGTGATCTGATGTTGGAAATTTTAAATGCACAACCATCTACTTATTTAAGATACAAAATATCACAATATGAAAAAAAAAGCTCAATAACCCTTACTTACCTTTGCTTCCAAGGATTTATCTACTTTTTTGTAAATACTGATTTTTTAAACTAGGAAAATTAAATCAACTTTTCGATTACATTCGCGTGAAAAAAAAATATATTAAGAAATAATTTTGAAAAGAAAAATATATGATACTCAGTCATCCCCAAAGTTTAAGTGCATCATTTGAAATATGATTTTTCTATGTTTTGACTTATTATATATTTTTCATTTATAATTGATTGTTAACAAGAGCTGGCTACTCTTTTAATTTATACGGAATTTCTATGATTTTGACCCTCTAAATACATATGATAAATATTGTAAGCTACCCCAGGGTTGGCTGGTTTTCTGAATCTCAGCAGGTATACGGGTCATTGATTCTTCATCTACATAAATCACCTTTTATCAGGATGTACCAATAATTAAATTTGTTCTTATATAAACTAGACAAGGCTCCGCTCTCTGTAGATATATGTAGATACGTAGAAGATGGTGATACTTTAAGGTTCTCAACAGACAGCCATGAATGTGATGATTTTTTGAACTTTGAGATTAGTGAGGAAGAAATTTTATTTGCAGTAAAAAAATTGAAAAATAATAAGGCCGCAGGCTACGATCAATTGTTAAACGAACATATTTCATCAACAGTATCTATTTTTTTGCCTGTATACAAAAAAAAATGTTTAATTTGATTTTTGATAGTGGAGTCATTCCAGACGAATGGCTCACAGGTATTGTCAAACCGATTTTCAAAAATAAAGGCGACCCAACAATTCCAGAAAATTATCGTCCAATAACACTTTTAAGTTGTCTTGGTAAGCTTTTTACCTCCATTTTATGTAAACGTTTGGAATGCTATGTAGAGAATTTAAACCTTATAAGTGAAAGTCAAACTGGCTTCAGGAAAGGATATTCGACCTTAGATAATATACTGACTTTACATTTTCTTACAAATATGGTTATGTCTTTCAAAAAGAAACTTTTCTGTGCTTTTGTTGACTTTAAACAGGCATTCGACACGGTGTGGAGAAATGGGCTTTGGTACAAATTGTTAAATAATGGCATTAGTGGTAAATGTTTTACATTTATAAAAAATATGTATAATGGAGTTAAGTCCCTTGTGACTATGAATGGTTTTTCATCTGAGTTTTACAACTGTAACATTGGTGTACGCCAAGGAGAAAATTTATCGCCTCTCTTGTTTTCTATGTATATTAATGATTTAGAAGAATTTCTCATTAGTAAAAATGTGCATGGGCTATCCTTTAATGCAAGCAGTTCAAATACTGTAGAAAACCAATTTTGGCTGTATTTTAAATTATTTATTTTGTTCTATGCTGACGATACAGTTATGATGTCTGAGTCTGCTGAGGGTTTGCAACACGCTCTTAATGAGTTTCATTCGTATTGTTTACAATGGAAACTGAATGTCAATGTAGACAAAACAAAAATTATGATTTTTTCGAAAGGTCCATCTGTAAAAAATGTATTCTACTACAATAATTCTGTTATTGAAATTGTGAATGAATTTAAATACCTAGGTATACTATTTTCCCGATCCGGTTCATTTTGTAAGGCTAAAAAACATTTATGTGAGCAAGCTCAAAAAGCCATGTATGGTGCTATACGAAAAATTAGACAATTTAATTTACCAGTAGATTGCCAGCTTGATTTGTTCGATAAAGTTGTCACACCAGTACTTTTGTATGGATGCGAGATATGGGGTTTTGAGAACATTGAAATAATTGAACGCGTCCATCTCAAGTTTTTGAAATATATTTTTAATCTGAAAAGTAGTACTCCTAGTTATATGGTTTATGGCGAAACGGGTCGATTCCCTTTGTATATAACGGTGTATATAAGAATGATATCACATTGGGCAAAATTACTGGTAAGCCCTGAAAATAAGATTGTTTATGTTACATATAAGAATTTATTTGAACAGTTTTGTTCAGGAAGTCATAAGAACCCTTGGATTTTATGTATTAAGAATATACTTGATACTTGTGGCTTCTCAAATATATGGAATGAACAGGCCTTTTTAAATATAAAATGGCTAAAAATTATAGTTGAACAACGTCTTAAAGATCAGTACATACAGAAATGGCAAAGTGATATGCGCGATTCGTCTAAAGGTCATATGTATAGTATCTTCAAAACAGAATTTGGATTTGAAAAATATTTAGACTTTCTACCTAAAAAATTTAGAACAATTTAAATTAAATTAAGAACAGCAAATCATCATCTCCCAGTTGAGACTGGGATATGGTTTGGAATTCCCAAAAATGATAGACTCTGTAATATCTGTAATAATGGACAAATAGCTGATGAGTATCACTATATTTTAGAATGTCAATTTTTCTCAGAATGCAGAAAAAAGTATCTACCTGGTAAATATTGTAATAGACCAAATTTCTACAAATTCTCAGAATTGTTGTCAACTGCTGACTCCAAGGTATTAATCAAACTATGCAGCTACATAGATAGGGTATATGAACAAGTCTGTCCTCCATAATTATTATTATTATTATTATTTTTTTTTTTTTGGTTACTTTATAATTTGAATGTATTTCCGCCATTTCACGTGTATCTTGTATATTGTTTTTGTATATATTGTACATAGAACCTCATGTACCATTAATTGGTTTGAGTGAATAAATTGAACTTGAACTATGGTCCTACCCATATATATCAATGGGCTAATAAAAGTTTGTATTGTCAAAAATATTATTCTAAAATTTATTCAGTATTAGGATAATTATTTTTTCTCCACTTGCAAAAATTGTTATGATTTTATTATTGATTCCAGCAAGGACTGAAGAAAGAACAGCCATAACAGAAGCTGTGAGAGAGAATATAAAGTTAATGGAAAGAGACCTCATAATTACTGAGTCTAGTCTTCTTGATGAACTTCAAATTGCGGATTATTTAACTGAAGAAGAAGTTAAGATGATGAAAAATCGATCAAGAAAAGATCAGACTCATCTTTTTGCCGAAAGAATAGAACTTCTTGACAACAAAGCTTTTCTAGGAGTCCTTAAAGTTTTGGATAAATCTTCTTTTGGTCATATTGCAAAAGGATTAGAAGAGTCCTATGTAAAACATCTGCCATCGAAGTCAAGAATTACACTCTGTCCAGTTTGTCGCATACGATCGGAAGTTGATATTAAAGAGTTGAGATGTGACTTGAAAGAGCAAGGGTTCTTGCCCTCCACTCTATATAGCGATATCAATAATTGTCAAGCCGATAAAAATCATCAAAATGCATTGTGGGAGGCACTGTTTTTCCATCTCAGACAACTGCAGCCAAACGAAGACGTGTTGAAAATATTCATCAATTTTTTCAACACTTCTAAACATGAAGGGCTTTACCACTATCTTAAGCAGAACCCTCCATTTCGCTACGTCTGCACTTGCCATAGTGCTAAATCATCTTTTGAAATAGACAGTATGAAACTTAAAGCCTTGAGTACTGATTCAAGCGATGAAAGTAACACATCCTCAGTTAAAACCTACCAAGAGCCGGAATTTTATTTAGATGCTGTAAATACAAGCAGTTCTGAATCTGGGTCAAAAATCATCTATAAAAGGAGCAGGAAAATACCAAGAATGCCTGCTGTTTCTGTAAGAATTTGTCACAAATATATAACACGCACACACATACACAAGCACCCGATGTAGAGGTGATGGTGAAGAATTTCTGTAAATTTTGTTTAATACATTTCAAAACTATGAACAATTTTACGCACGCAAATTAGAGATTTAACTTCGTTGATTTATGAGAAAAATAAGTTGTTAGTGCACTTTTCGCAAATAAAGGAAATAAAAGGGGGAGTAGTCCCAAACTCACCATCAAACTTTCCTCGTTAAAAGGCCTCTGTACAGGCCTTAGTTACAGTTTAAAAACAAAATGTACTCTTTTTTTATGCCTCACCCAAGTCGAGAGCCTTTGATTGGTAATTAACTCAAAGCGCACACTGAAAAAAAATAAATCCTTTAAAAAAGAATGACTATCAGAGTCTTTCTCTAAGAGTACCGGATATAAAAGATCGCTTCGTTTAGATACGCTGCTTTGTTCATTCTCCAAAACTGCATGACTAATCAGCATGTGTTGCGTTGAAAAATAATCCCTCTTGCTCTCCCTTTAAATATGTATAAAAGAACTATCAGTGTGAAAAGTCTATGATCGATATATAGTTTTCAATACCGAAAACTACATGTACATGTATAAGTATTCATCCCCTCTTTACACCAGACGTTAAAGTACTTCTAACCCCAACAATGATTTGATAATATATTAACTGTAGTGACATTTAATTCACTGGATCAATGTTCTTGGGCAACCATAATTTTACTGGTTCACGGGGAATACTTTGTATATACAGAAAAGTCAATGGAACATATTACATGTACATGAATAAGATCTCGTTCATTTGGAGGTAAATTTGTTTATAAAAGCTTACACATCCACGGCCTGATCATTATTTCTTAACCTTGTCATTGCTTTATTTTCACAGAAAAACAAGCATTGCAATCGAGGAACAAAACGAGGATATCTTACAGGCCCAAACTATGAAAATAAAGGAAAGGGACCACAACAGAAGAACTCTATGGATGTAGAGGTATCACTTCATTTGAATAAGAGTGGTGGGTCTACGGTTTCCCTTGACAGTAACCCAGGATCTAACGTTCTCAACTTTTCCAAGGTACCTCCCAAGAAGATTTGGGAAAAAGAAACAGAATCAAAAGACACTATTAGTGAGGCAATGAATTCAGTGAGTTCAGATACAGAAGTGAAAACCATCAACGAAACTGTTCACACGCATTACAAAGGTCCCACAGTATCTTCAATTGAATCAATAGGGGTATTGACTTTCAGTACAGAAGTAAAGACAATTGGTCACCGAGACATATCTTGTAAGAAAAAACCAGTTGTATCCGTGCGCCCGTACATAACTGAATCAGATGTCAATTCTGATGGAGAAGCAAGAAAGATCTATACCTTCCCTGCAGAACCATTGTTCAAAAAATTTCCGAGAGACTCCGAATTTGCAAAAGAAAATGTACCTACAGCTTTTGCAAAGACTGTTAAGTCGAAAGGTTCATCAGAAATTTGGTAACTGACATTTGCTTAGATCTTATTATATTCTATAGAAAAAACTTACCATATCTGTTTTCGTAAAAAGGGAGGTACGGTTTCAATACAATATGTCCCTGTTTTTTCTTTCTTTGCTATGAAGTTGTTGTGATAAATTACAACTAATGCCTTCTGAATTGTTCAATGTCCATGCAGTAAGATCATACACTTCCTTCTTTCTTATATGAATACCTAAATTCTAATTGTGACGTCGTGAACGTTTGCATTTTTCCGTTCTTTCTTTAAAAAGTTACGGAACACGTCATTCGTCGACACTTTTTTTGTTAAGAAAAATCACCCCTTAAATTTACTCATTTTCAGGTTTTTTCTCTTAAAAAATAGAATTGTAGCAAATTAATGACGTCACATCTTCAAAATGGTCCTCCTTTATGCCGTGTCTGATTAATCACACATATGCAACTGATATTCCAGCAATTTTCAAAACTTATTGAAAACATCAAAAGTTTATGGAATAATAAAGCCAAAACCTTAACTTCTTTTTGTTTAACATGTTTAGTGGCATTATAAGAATTTTACAAAACAGTTTAAGCAGATGGTTGAGAATCAAATGCAGGTTTATTCACTTCTCGAGCTTCTAAAATAAAGGATAAAAAGGTTAAAGATAAATACCACAAACAATTTTTTATCTCTCACACAGAAATAAATGTTGCCATTTTTCAGTAGTTCTTTCATATGAAAGAAAGCGTAGGAAATTTTAACGGTATAAACCGTAAAATTAGACTCTTGAAAATTTTCTCCGAAACTTAAAAGTAACAAAACTTCATATATTTTTAAATGTATTTAGTTTCCCTTTATTAAATCATGTTAAATCTATTTGTACAATTGTTTAGCTCACCTGAGCCAAAGACTCAAGTGAGCTTTTCTGACTGAAATTTGTCCGTTGTCTGTCAACGTCATAAACTTTTCACACTTTTATATTCTTCTGCAGAACCACTGGGCCAATATCAACCAAACTGGGCTAAAAAAGATGAAACTTTTGTGGAAGCTTTCTGACATAATGTAGATTCAAGTATGTTCACATCTTGACCCCCCGGAGAAAGGGTGGGGCCACAATGGGCGATCAAAGTTTTACATAGAAATAATATAGGATTTTTAAAAAATTATTCCCAGGAACAGCGGTGATATTTATATGGAAGCATCCTCAGATGGTGTACATTCAAGTTTGTTCAAATCATGACCCCCGGGGATAGGATGGGATCACAATGAGCAAATAAAGTTTTACATTGAAATATATAGGAAAATCTTTAAAAATTTCCTTATCAAGAACAGCAAACCCAAGAATGGTGATATTTATAATTTGGAATATAATTTGGAAGCATCCTCAAATAGTGTTATTCAAGTTTGTTCAAATTATGATCCATGGGGGTGGGAATGGCTACAATGGGCGATAAAAATTTTACGTAGGTATACATATTAAAAATCTTCTTCTCAAGAACAGTTAAGCAATGATTAGACATATTTATATTAAAGCATCCTCAAGTAGTTTACATTCAAGATTTTCCAAATCATGATCCCCGGGGGTAGGGAGGAGACATAATTTGTGATTAAAGTTTTATATGAAAATACATGGATAAATCGTTAAAATCTTTCCAAGAATAGCAAATCCTTGATAAGTCATATTAATTCAGAAGAATCCTCAGGTAAGGTATACTCGAATTTTTTCAAATCAAGTCCACTGGAGGTAGAGCAGGGCCACAACAGAAGATCAAATATATAGAAAAAAAATCTAAAGCCATGATTAGTCAAAGAAATATCAAAGCATCCTCAGTTAGTGTAGATTCAAATGTGTATAAATCTGACCCCCTTTTCCCGGGGGAAGGGGCATTTGTGATCACCTATATATTTAACCTTTTCAATACTAAACTGATTTCTGCTTTTTTCTAGCCAATGTGCTCAGGTTAGCGATGTGGCCCATGGGCCTCCTGTTTAATGAGGGATTATTCAGTGGTTGTAGATTTTTATTCTAATTTTTCTTGTTATGTATAGTTTGAAGATGAACACGCTAGTTTAGTTTTTCTATCTCCTGTATAAGCACAGAGGTATATAAGCCCTTCGCATTCGTTACACCTGACTGCTTTTACCTGATCACTGTTGTATGTAGGACATATATAAATTACATGGTCTTTTTTGTGAACGTTTTATTTATTTGTTTATTTCACTTTGCAATGCATTGACCAGTGCAATTGATATCGAATATCTTTGGTTACTATTTTTGCTGATGTGGCATAGCATACAGAAGTCATTTTTTGTCGTGCCCAACTCTATCATAATGACAATGAAAGAGATGTCTGATTAGACAAACTCCGTGAATTGAAATATATTGAACTCTGAACAAAGCTTAGGTTTTTATAGCGGCTGACACTCTAGAGAAACTTATATGGCGGAAAAAGATAACTTTTTATAAATTGTATTCAGCTTTAAGTTATGGAGTTTCAAACTTGTATCTGATTGAAGAATTAAGTTGTAGTTGTATATGATTGAAAATATAAGTTATGAAGTTTTATTGTTCCCCGCTTTCGTGAAAGCAAGGAGAAATTATATCTCATTAGTCTGTCCGTCTGTCATAAAAAATTTACGTTGGTCAAAAAATTTGAATCAGACAAAAACAGGGCTTTTATATTTTACATGTACATTACTTTTTGAAAGATCATTTCAAATGTACTATGATTTTTACCATGTGACCTTGATGTTTGACCCACTTTTCAAACATTGTTAATAACGTTTGAATGACAGAAGTTATGGTGTTTATATTTGACACATGTACGTTACCTTTGACAAATCCTTTCCAAAATATGTTTTTTCGACTCTTTGATCCTGAAGCTTGATCTACTTTTCAAAATGTTAGATATTAGACGTTTGAATGAAAAAAGACAGGGCAATCGAATTTGAAATGTGCATTATCTGCTATAAGACCTCACCGAATGTATTATGGTTTTTGACCTCGTGACCTTGACATTAAAATGTAACCTTCTGTACTTTGCAAAATTTTTAACATTTGTAATAGCCATTGAATGAGAGAAGGCAGGACTTTCATGTTTACATGTACATTACAGGTGACCTGAGACAACACTTCTCAGCGAGAACTATCATTTCTGACTTCATGACCTTGATCTAGAAGTTTGACTTACGTATATAAAGTTTTAACTTTAGCTGTGAATTTAGCTGTAGAAGAGACAGGGTCTTCATTTTTTTTTTTTCACCTGAGCATTACTTATGACAAAACCTTTTGGATTGTATTATGTTACTTAACTTAAAGAATTCTTTAAATTTGATGCAGTTTAAAAAATTAATCTTCGCTGTAACTTTTGTCAATTCAAAAATTTTAATCATTTTGAATGATGGATAGACAAGACAGGACACACAGACAAGACAATAATAATTAGCAATTAAAAAACTGCATTCCATCCACTTAGACACCGAAAGCGGGGGACCAAATTTCTTTGAATTTGCTTGTTTTTGTTGTGTATGGTTGTAAATTGTTTTTTCTTCGGTAAGTGAATGTTCATTGACTTTGTAAAAGTAATGTTCCTTGTACAATTCACTTTTATTTTCTGGGATATTGAAATCTTATGGAGTAAATGTTATATGTATTTTAGATTATGAAGAAATAATAAAACAAAAACAAAACAAAACAAATAACCCAATAAAGGGATTTTATGCAAAAGATAATTTATCGGTCTAACCATTTTTATTTTTATTTATTTATTTAATTTTTTTTCCCTTTTGATATTTCATGCACTACATCAGATGTATTTTGTAATTGTACTTCATTTATCTCAAGTTTTTTTTTATGTTTGAGCATGTTGAAACTGTTCTTCAGCAAATGTTATATTTTTTTTTAAATGAAACTATAATAATTATATTAAAAACTTTATATAAAATGATGATTCACGATACAAATTTAAACCATTTAATTATGTCTTAGTGGTTTAACTTGATAATATAGATCACTTATGAGCAAATGCATTTGTGGACGACTTTGATAATCACATTTTACTCTTCTTTTTTTTTTTTAACACTTATATCAATTCAAGGCAGCAATAGTTTACTTGAAGCGTTCTTCTTATCCAACTCGGGGACTAATCCAATACTGTTTTTAGTATTATCAGTATTTACTTTTATATTTTTTTTGTGAATAGGGACATTATATACATCATGTTAGTGAAATGGATTTGTCTTTCACAAGCTTTATTCGGTTATACCCCCCCCCCCCCTACACACACACACACACACACACTCACACAAGGTGAGAAAAACATAGTACTGGATGGTTCGAGTTGCCTATTTGTATAATTTAATCAGGTAGTAAAGTAACTGTAACACTAAATCTAGCAATATGATCGTGGTTTACAAAAACCAAACGTTGATGATTGCCTACTTTATGCATTATTTGTGTCGTGTATTTATAATGTGAACAAGCATTTTTAATGACCAATGACTTTTTTAAAGAACGTTAACTTATTTTGTCTTTTTCAGAATTGTTTTAAAGAATTATTTATGTTTTAATAGAGTTATTTATGTTATGGTCGATAATGCTTTTTATTTGTATTTGATTGGCAAATGGCAAAGCCCCTTTGATACTTTCTTAATACATGCATATTTTTTCTGAATAGTATGTTTGACGTATGCATGGTATGTATATAAGTAATATTTTACACATTACTGTTATAATGATAAATCTATTTCATGTTCCTTTATAATTAGCAAAAAATAAAAATAAGCAATTTATACATTATTATGGTAGAAATGCAAGATTGTGCCGAGTTTTCTGAAACAAAATGATATGAAAATGAAAATTTGCATTAAAATGAGAAAATTCAGAAACTGACATATTTTTTAACCTTCCTGTGACCTTTGTGTACCCAAAAACTTAGAACCAATACTCATTTTGTGAGAAGGATGACAAGTTTTTAATGATGAACAAGATATTCTTATAAAAAAAATAGAATGAAATATAAAGAT